GCTACTCGGGAGGCTGTGGCAGGAGAATTGCTTGAACCCGGGAGGCAGATGTTGCAGTGAGCGGAGATCGCGCCACTGCACTTCAGCCTGGGTGACAGAGTGAGACTCCATCTAAAAAAAAAAAAAAAAGATAAGGCATTTTCAGTTATCAAGGAATTATCAATTTCTTCCTACAAAATAATCGAGGGTCCTACATAGATGTTTACAATTGTCTGTGTAGATGTTCAAACTCCTGAAAGTTGGCTAGTCCTTGTTCATATCTACCCCATACCTGTGTTAATACTGTTTACATTTACTCTTTCAGACACAGGGGAACAAGGTCCTGAACAAAGGAGGACTTGGTATGGTGCCGCAATTGCTTCTGGCTTGGTCTCTACAACTGTGGTGGAGCTTCCAAGAGCTCCATGTGGGGACAGAGCATTAGATGGTTGACAACATCTGTGGTCTGCAGGAGCTACTATGCGGAGGGCCCAGGGAAGAATTTGCCATTTTCAATGAAAAACACGTGTCGGTTACTAACTATGATGACTTTGTACTTAGGGTCTGGATCTGTGGCAACTTTCTTTAGAGTAAAACACCAACTGCTTAAGATATAAGAATGTTTTAGTTCATCCATTTAACAGACATGAAGAGTGTTTCAAGAGATGCAATCCCTTTGAAGAATGGATCAAACTCTTGAACTCATATAGCATACTAGATATGTTTGTCAATAAACTTATGACATGAAAACTCAATCAGTCAATCAATTTAGCCTTGGACATAAACAGATAATGGCTTCCCATCCCCCGTTTACAGTGGCCCCTCCTTCTCTTGTCTTTTCCAAATACAAGACCACTTAGATCTTTATCATCGTCCTAAGGAGCTGATGTTGAAGGTTATATGTAAGACATGGGGAACTTGAACTCAGAGGGGTGTGTGAGTGTGTGTGTCAAGGTCTCACTGCTGCCCAGACTGAGTGCTGTGGCACAATCACAGCTCACTGTAGCATCAACCTGCTGGACTCAAGCGATCCTCCTACCTCAGCCTCCCGAGTAGCTGGGACCACAGGTATACGCCACTATGCTCAGCTAATTTTTTTATATTTTGTAGAGACAGTGCTTTGCCATGTTGCCCAGGCTGGTCTTGAATTCCTGGACACAAGCAATCTTCCTGTCTTGGCCTCCCAAAGTGCTGCGATTACAGGTGTGAGCCACCGTGCCCAGCCAGAATTGCAGATTTTTAAATACGGAAATTCTCAAGTGCTTTGCCCAGGAAGGGATACATTTGCCGACTTTTCTGGCTATTGGAGCAGGTCAGAGAGGGCTGTCAGAGGTGATAGTTTTACTCTGATCCCATTTGTTCATCTCTACACTTTCTGAAGAAAAGTCCCTTTCAGATGTGTATATATTTTTGAATATTCTCATTCTTTAGAAAGCTCCTTTCTTTATGTTCTGAGTGAATTACTCCCATGTGTTAAGAGTTGGGAAGTTATAGGAAAGGTAGAGTCCAAGGAAATTAGTCAAAAATCAATCAAGGACCCAGCTGAATTATAAATGAAGTTGAACAGTTCACAAAAGAGGAAATATATTGGACTAAAAGACACGTGGGAAAATGTTCAACTTCACTAATAACAAAAGAAATGCAAATTTTAAAAACCAGGTACCATTTCATCTGTAAAATTTGCAAAAGTTAAAAATGTGTGGCCGGGCGCAGTGTCTCACGCCTGTAATCTCAGCACTTTGGGAGGCCAAGGCGGGTGGATCATGAGGTCAGGAGTTCGAGACCAGCCTGGCCAACATAGTGAAACTCTGTCTTTACTAAAAACACAAAAATTAGCTGGGCATAGTGGCAGGCACCTGTAATCCCAGCTACTTGGGAGGCTGAGGCAGAGAATTGCATGAACCTGGGAGGCAGAGGTTGCAGTGAGCCAAGATTGCACCACTGCACTCCAGCCTGGGCGACAGAGCAAGACTCCATCAAAAAAAAAAAAAAAGTGTTGGGGGTGGTGGAAAAATACCCAGTACTGGCAAGCATGCAGTATGGTGGCTGTCTTTATGCCCTGCTGGTGGTGGGCTACATTGATACCACTTTTAGGGAAACCATCTGATGAGACACATCAATCATATTCCTGTTAAATTATCCTAAGAAAGTTATCCAAAACATACACAAAAATTTATCACAATGATGCAGTGTTATTTATTTTAAAAAATGGGAATAACTTAGGTATGAAAAAATATGAGACTGGTTAAATAAATGATAATATATTCTCACAGTAGAACACTAATGCAACCATTAGGAAAGATGCTTTGTTTTCTAGTACCATGAGAAAATGCTTTTTTACAATCCAGGCTGGGGTGCAGTGGTGCAATCTCGGCCTCCCAGGTTCAAACGGTTTTTGTGCCTCAGCCTCCCTACCGGGATTACAGGCGTGTGCCAACACACCCAGCTAAATTTTTAATATTTTTAGTAGAGATGGGTTTTTGCCACGTTAGCCAAGCTGGTCTTGAACTCCTGGCCTCATGTGATCTGCCCACCTGGGCCTCCCAGAGTGTTGTGAGTCACCGCGCTTAGCCTATTACAATGTTAATTAAAAAGTGCAAAATACATAATTGTATTTACAGTCATCCCTCAGTATCTGTGGAAGACTGGTTCTAGGACTCCCCCTGTCCCCGCAGATACCAAAATCCACAATGCACAAGTTCCTTCTTTTGTTGTTGTTGTTGTTGTTGTTTTGAGACAGAGTTTCACTCTTGTGGCCCAGGCTGGAGTGCAGTGGCACGGTCTCAGCTCACTGCAACCTCCGCCTCCTGGGTTCAAGTGATTCTCCTGCCTCAGCCTCCCGAATAGCTGGGATTACAGGCGTGTGCCACCACACCCAGTTAATTTTTGTATTTTTGGTAGAGATGGGGTTTCACCATGTTGGCCAGGCTGGTCTCAAACTGCTGACCTCAGGTGATCAGCCCACCTCGGCCTCCCAAAGTGCTGGGATTACAGGCATGAGCCACCGCACCCAGCCACAAGTTCCTAATATAAAATAATGTAGTATTTGCATGCAACCTACTCACATCCTCCCATATACTTTAAATCATCTCTATGTTACTTACAATACCTAATGCAATGTAAATGCTGTGTGAATAGTAGTTTTACTGTATTGTTTAGGAAATAGTGACTGGACGAAAACAACCTGTGCATGTTCAGTACAAATGCAGCCATCTTTTCCTTTTTCAAACATTTTCAGTCTGTAGCTGGTTGAATCCCAGGATGCAGAACTCACAGACACAAAGAGCTGACTGTACATTCTAATCTCAGTTATGTTAAAAAATAAAACATAGAAACAAGAAAGGGATAAAATATATTAGTTCATTAACAATGGTTGTCTTGAAACAATTCGTAATTTTTTTCTTCTTCCCTTTTCCCCTTATTTTCCTGTAATAATAACATACTGTCTTTAGAATAAAAATTGTATTTAGGCAGGGCACAGTGGCTCATGCCTATAATCTCAGCACTTTAGGAGGTCGAGGCAGGAGGATTGCTTGAGCTCAGGAGTTTGAAACGAGCCTGGGTAGCATAGTGAGACTCTGTCTCTCCAAAAAATTTTATTTATTTATTTGTTTATTTATTTATGAGACAGAGTCTCGCTTTGTCACCCAGGCTGGAGTACAGTGGTGCAATCTCGGCTCACTGCAAACTCCGCCTCCTGGGGCTCAAACAATTCTCCTGCCTCAGCCTCCCTAGTAGCTGGGATTACAGGTGCACACTACTGCACTCAGCTAATTTTTTTTTTTTTTTTTTTTGAGACGGAGTCTCGCTCTGTCACCCAGGCTGGAGTGCAGAGGCCGGATCTCAGCTCACTGCAAGCTCCACCTCCCGGATTTATGCCATTCTCCTGCCTCAGCCTCCCGAGTAGCTGGGACTGTAGGCGCCCGCCACCTCGCCCGGCTAGTTTTTTGTATTTTTTAGTAGAGACGGGGTTTCATCATGTTAGCCAGGATGGTCTCGATCTCCTGACCTCGTGATCCGCCCGTCTCGGCCTCCCAAAGTGCTGGGATTACAGTCTTGAGCCACCGCGCCCGGCCTTTTTTTTTTTTTTTTTTTTTTTTGAGTTGGAGTCTCGCTCTGTTGCCCGGGCTGGAGTGCAGTGGCCTGATCTCAGCTCACTGCAAGCTCCGCCTCCCGGGTTTACGCCATTCTCCTGCCTCAGCCTCCCAAGTAGCTGGGACTACAGGGGCCCGCCACCTCGCCCGGCTAGTTTTCGTTTTTGTATTTTTTAGTACAGACGGGATTTCACCGTGTTAGCCAGGATGGTCTCGATCTCCTGACCTCGTGATCTGCCCGTCTCGGCCTCCCAAAGTGCTGGGATTACAGGCTTGAGCCACCGCGCCCGGCCAATTTTTGTATTTTTAGTAGACAGGAGGTTTCACCATGTTGGTCAGGCTGATCTTGAACTCCTGACCTCAAATGATCTGCCCGCTTCAACCTCCCAAACTACTGGGATTATAGGCATGAGCCACCGCATGCGGCAAAATTTTAAAAAATGTTTTAAGTTTTATTGAAAAGTCACAAGCAGCTACAGTAATCAAGGCTCTATGGTACTGGCATAAGGATAGACACATACATACATCAATGGAACAGACCAGAAAGTTCAGAAATAAACTGTTAGCTTTATGGTCAATTGATTTTCAAAAAGGGTGCTAAGACAATTCAGTGAGGAAAGAATCATCTTTTCAATAAATTGTGCTGGGAAAACTGGATATCTACATGCAAAAGAAGAAAGTTGGACCCCTTCTTTACACCACATACAAAAACTAACTGAGCTGGATTATAGACCTAAATGTAAAAGCTAAAACTATAAAATTTTTAGAAAACAAGAATAAATCTTTATGGCCTTAGGTCAGAGAAAGTCTTCTTAGATATGACCAAAAGCCCAAACAACAACAAAAATAGACAAATAGGACATCATCAAAATTAAATACTTTTGTACTTCAAAACACAGAATCAAGAAAGTGAAAAAACTCACAGAGGTTCCCGGAACTGCTGCTGCTAGTCGAGGACGCGATGGCTTCAAGGTTACTTCGCGGAGCTGGAGCGCTGGCGGCGCAGGCCCTGAGGGCTCGCGGCCCCAGTGGCGTGGCTGCGGTGCGCTCCATGGCATCTGGAGGTGGTATTCCCACCGATGACGAGCAGGCGACTGGGTTGGAGAGGGAGGTCATGCTGGCTGCAAGGAAGGGACTGGACCCATACAATATACTGCCCCCAAAGGGAGCTTCAGGCACCAAGGAAGACCCTAATTTAGTTCCCTCCATCACCAACAAGAGAAGAGTGGGCTGCATCTGTGAAGAGGACAACACCAGCGTCGTCTGGTTTTGGCTGCATGAAGGCGAAGCCCAGCGATGCCCCCGCTGTGGAGCCCATTACAAGCTGGTGCCCCACCGGCTGGCACACTGAGCGCCTGTACTAAGTTACTGGCGCTCAAAATGTGCTGTAAAGTTTTTTCTTTCCAGTAAAGACTAGCTGTTGCATTGGCTCCTTCTCCCAAAAAAAAAAAAAAAAAAAACTCACAGAATGTGATAAAATATTTGCAAATCATATATCTGATAAGGGACTTGTATCCAAAATAAATAGAGCTCTAACAACTCAACAATAAAAAGACAAATAATCCAATTGAAAAATGGGCAAAAGGCCAGTCTCAGTAACTCAGGCCTGTAATCCCAGCACTTTGGGAGGCCAAGGCGGGCAGATCACCTGAGGCTGGGAGTTTGAGATCAGCCTGACCAACATGGTGAAACCCTATCTCTACTAAAAATACAAAATTAGCCGGGTGTGGTGGCGCATGCCTGTAATCCCAGCCACTTGGGAGGCTGAGGTAGGAGAATCGTTTGAACCCGGGAGGTGGAGGTTGCAGTGATCCGGGATTGCCATTGCACTCCAGCCTGAGCAACAAGAGCAAAACTCTGTCTCAAAAAACAAAAAAGAACAAAAAAAAAAAAAAAAAAGAAAGAAAGAAAGAAAAAAAGGGCAATGAGTTGAAAAGAAATTTCTCCAAAGAAGATATATAAATATTGCTGCCGGAACAAACGTAGTGGCTTAAAACAATACCACTTCATTATCTTACAGTTCTTGAAGTCAGGAGTTCAACATGGGTAGAAATGGAAAGTGACTGCTAATGAGTATAGGGCTCCTTTTTGGGGTGATGAAAAAAATATCCTAAAATTAATTGTAGTGATTTTTTTGGTAGAGACAATGTTTCATCATGTTGCCCAGGCTGGTCTCAAACTTCTGGGCTCAAGTGATCTGCCTGCTTTGCTGGTTGCACAGCTCTGTAAATAAACCAAAAATCGTTTTGTATGTCCCCACCTTGGGTTGTTTGGTGTTTTTTGTTTTTGTTGTTGTTTTGTTTTGTTTTTGTTTTTGTTTGTTTTTTGGTTTTTTGTTTTGTTTTTGTGACAGGGTCTCACTTTGTCACCCAGGCACATACAGGCTGGAGTGCAGTGGCACAATCACAACTCACTGAAGCTTCAACCTCCCGGACTCAAGGGATTCTCTCACCTCAGCCTCCCAAGTAGCAGAGACACAGGCATGCGCCGCCATACCTGGCTAATTTTGTTGAGAAATGAGGTCTCTCTGTGTTGCACAGTCTGGTCTCCAACTCTGGGGCTCAAGTGATTGTCCCACTTCTGCCTCTCAGAGTGGTGGGATTATAGGCATGAGCCACCGCACCCAGCCTGTATGAGTACTTTAAATGGGCGCATTGCATGGTATGTAAACTACATCTCAATTAAGCTGTTAAAAAATAACAAATGAATGACTCCTAAGTAGGATGCCATATCAATTTAACAAAAACACACCACAAATGGCCTTAAAGAATAAAGGAAATGTATTGGCTCATTTAACTGAAAAGTACAGAGGAAATAAAGACTTCAGGTGAGATACAGTCAAAACCTCCTCCCCCAGCAGTTGGAGCTCCAACTGTACATGCTGCTACATAATTGAGGGACAGTGAAATAGATATTGTGGAGACAACACCCACTATGCCCATCCACTATGGTCCTAAGGGCAAGGAGAAAACAGGTGGCTCACGGCTGGGTGCAGTGGCTCATACATGTAATCCCAGCACCTTGGGGGGTCGAGGCAAGCAGATTACTTGAGTCCGGGAGTTTGAGACTAGCCTGGGCAACATGACCTGTCTCTATAAAGAATACAAAAAATGGTCGGGCGCGGTGGCTCACACCTGTAATGCCAGCCTTTGGGAGGCTGAGGTGGGCGGATCACCTGAGGTCAGCAGTTCAAAACCAGCCTGGCCAACATGGTGAAACTCCGTCTCTACTAAAAACACAAAAAGTACCCAGGCATGATGGCGGGTGCCTGTAATCCCAGCTACTTGGGAAGCTGAGGTGGGAGAATCACTTGAATCCGGAAGGCGGAGTTTGCAGTGGGCTGAGATCGTGCCACTGCGCTCCAGCCTGGGCAACAAAGCAAGACTCCATCTCAAAAAAAAAAAAAAAAAAAAAAGATTGAACTGTACACTTGAATATCTGTCTTCTCTTTTTTTTTTTTTTTTTGTCTTTGAGATGTAGTCTTGCTCTGTCTCCCAGGTTGGAGTGCAATGGCATGACCTCGGCTCACTGCAAGCTCCGCCTCCCAGGTTCATGCCATTCTCCTGCCTCAGCCTTCCGAGTAGCTGGGACTATAGGTGCCCACCACCATACCCGGCTAATTTTTTGTATTTTTAGTAGAGATGGGGTTTCACCACGTTAATCAGGATAGTCTCGATCTCCTGACCTCATGATCCGCTCGCCTCCCAAAGTGCTGGGATTACAGGTGTGAGCCACCAGACCTAGCCGAATATGTGTATTCTTTAAATGATATGTGAATACCAGGCACAGTGTCTCATGCCTGTAATCCCAGCACTTGGGGAGGCTGAGATGGGAGGATCATTTGAGCCCAGGAGTTTGAGACCAGCCTAGGCAAAATAGTGAGACTCCATCTCTACCGAAAAAACAAAACTAGCTGGGCATGATAGTGTTTGCAACTGCAGTTCCAGCAACTTGGAAGGAGGCAGGAGGATTGCTTGAACCCAGGAGGTTGAGGCTTGAGGCTGCAGTGAGTTTTGATGGTACCACTGCACTCCAGCCTAGGAGACGGAGTGAGATTCTGTCTCAGGAAAAAAAAAAAAAAAAACACTTAAATAATATGTGAATTGTATTTCAATGAAGCTGGATTTCATTGTTTAGAGCAGGTAGATAAGATATTAATCTAGTGCTTGGGCATATGGAGCCAGGAGAAGGGAGTTAAATGTAAATTAAAGCCCAAAATATGGGAAAGATAGTAAGTGAGCCTCTGTGTATTTCAAGGAGTTCAAGACTCTTGGGCCCAGATAAATTACCTCCTAGGGCACTGAAAGAACTTGTAGGTGTAGTAATTATTTAAACTAATTTGTGAGAAATTATGGAGAATTGGGTGAGGGAAGATAAGTTTTGGACACAAGCACACATGGATTTTTTTTTTTTTCTTTTTGAGATGGAGTCTTGCTCTGTCACCAGGCTGGAGTGCAGTGGCATGATCCCGGCTCACTGCAACCTCTGCCTCCTAGGTTCAAGCGATTCTCCTGCCTCAGCCTCCCGAGTAGCTGGGACTACAGGCACGTGCCACCACGCCCAGCCAATTTTTGTATTTTTAGTAGAGACAGGGTTTCACCATTTTGGCCAGGATGGTCTCAATCTCTTGACCTCATGATCCACCCACCTTGGACTCCCAAAGTGCTGGGATTACAGGCATGAGCCACCTCGCCCAGCCCCCACACATGGATTTATTTATTTTTTGTGTTTGTATATGTTTAGTTTTATAGTACTAAAGCAACTTGTACATTTTTTTTGTTTTGTTTTGTTTTTGTTTTTGAGACAGTCTCCCTCTGTTGCCCTGGCTGGAGTACAGTGGCACAATCTCAGCTCACTGCAGCCTCTGCCTCCCAGGTTCAAGTGATTCTCCTGCCTCAGCCTCCCCAGTCGCTGGGACTATAGGCACACGCCACCACACCTGGCTAATTTTTTTTATTTATTTATTTTTAGTAGAGACAGAATTTCACCATATTGGCCAGGCTGGTCCCAAACTCCTGACCTCAGGTAATCCACCCTCCTCAGCCTCCCAAAGTGCTGGGATTACAGGTATGAGCCACTGCACCCGGCTACAAAGCAACTTGCACATTTTTAATGTTTAAAACTGAGCATCTGGGCCAGGGGTTGTGGCTACCTTCTGTAATCCCAGCCCTTTGGGAGGCCCTGGCAGGTAGATGGCTTGAGTTCAGAGGTTTGAGATCAGCCTGGGCAACATGGTGAAACTCCGTCTCTACAAAAAATACAAAACTTAGCCAGGCATGGTGGTGCACACCTGTACTCCCAGCTAGTTGGGAGGCTGAGGTTGGAGGATCAATTGAGCCTGGGAGGTTGAGGCTTCAGTGAGCTGTGACTGCCTTATTGCACTCTAGCCTAGGTGACAGAGCAAAATCTTGTATCAAAAAAATAAATAAATAGGCCAGGCACTGTGGCTCACGCCTGTAATCCCAGCACTTTGGGAGGCCTAGGCAGGTGGATCACGAGGTCAGGAGTTTGAGACCAGCCTGGCCAATATAGTGAAACCCTGTCTCTACTAAAAATACAAAAATTAGCTGGTTCACTGATCATTCTGATGCAGGTGCTGGGGAGTTAGGAGAGGTCATCAAAGATGATATTTGGCCAAACCCATTACAGTTCTACTTGGTTCCTGATATGGATGATAAAGAAAAATAAGAAGATGATGATGATGATGAAGGGTTGGAAGATACTGAAAAAGGAGAGGAGGATGAAGGGGGAGATGATTAATAGAACTCTGATGGATTCCAACCTCCCTTTTAAAAAAATGTTCCCCATTTTGTGCTGGGCATGGTGGCTCACGCCTGTAATCCCAGCATTTTGGGAGGCCAAGTCAGTGGATCACAAGGTCAGGAGATCGAGACCATCCTGGCTAACATGGTGAAACCCCGTCTCCACTAAAAATACAAAAAATTAGCCGGGCGTGGTGGTGGCCGCCTGTAGTCCCAGCTACTCGGGAGGCTGAGGCAGGAGAATGGTGTGAACCCGGGAGGCGGAGCTTGCAGTGAGCCCAGATCGCGCCACTGCTCTCCAGCCCGGGCGACAGAGCTAGACTCCGTCTCAAAAAAAAAAAAGAAAAACTTTGGGATGGTCCGAGTGCAGTGGTATTTACAACTAATTTATCACAACCAATCACAGATTTCTTTATTCCTTCTCCACTCCCTAATGCTTCACTTGACAAGCCAAAAACAAAAAAAAAAAAAAAAAAAAAAGGAAAAAAACAAACAAAAAAACACATGGAATTCTAGACAAATCAGTTCCACACATAGCAATTGACTGCTACCCCTGTTAATTCTGCTGAGCTGCTTTTTCCCTCCATTGCCAGCCTTAGAGGATCAGTTTTCCATTTAATTAAGGTTGTTAAGAAGAAAGGGGCTGGGCCAGGCACTGTGTAATCCCAGCACTTTGGGA